TGGTTGACTGGTGAAGCAAAGGTTTCAGAATCTCAATCATGTTACTGAAAGCTTGCTGCTCGCTCAGCACTAACTCTGTTACTGGCATTGACTGCTCTGTTTCAGAAGATAGAAACTTGAACATTTCCACCGGTCTGTACCTTCCTCTGTGTTGACAATGTTAAACAACTCTCTTACGCTAACACAAATAAACTCTTGTTTTTTTTTCTTCTCTTTGAGTTCCACCATGAGCCTGAGAGTGTCCATGAGGTCATCTATGGGTTACCTCTTGACTGATTTGTTATTAATAGTTTGTTGATGCTTTTTGACAACTGTTTACTTTGAGACCAATTGTTCTGTGGGAGGTTGTCAAACTCCTCCAGCTCATTTGATGATGTTCAGGTTGAGACATGTAGTCTCAAATGTGATGTTGGTTATTTATGAATAATGTGCACAATTTCAATTCACTTATGTGCATTGTATGTAGCCTATACCATTCCTACACTTCCACCAGAGCCATGTAGACTATGACTTTGTCTCCAGTTACAGTGAATCATTTGATAGGATGGTCACACTTCAGCTTGCATCAAACACAAAATTAACAAGATATACATGGATGCAGATATGTTCTGTCAATTTTGGCTCATCTGGATTAGTTAGTTGGCCCCAGGCATCTTCCTCAACTGAAGTATCTTACTAGATGGAGGTACCTTTCTAATGGTGCTGAGTGTTCTATAATGTAGACCTCTTTACATATATAACCACTAGTATATTCATTGTTCTGATATTGTGTTTTACTTTCATACATCTTCTGGAAGTGACCTACAGTTTTTCAAATGTAGTATCCTTTAGTGATGTTGGGACATTGTCTATTGTGAGTCAATGCTGTCCTTCAGTGCTGAAACTGTTTGTTTTAGCATCGGGTAATGGTGCTTAGACTTGCCACATGCTTCTCTGTAGTGTCCATACCTTATAAAGAAATAAACAGATTCTGTGATCTTCTTGAGGCAGCCTTCTCTCTCAAGTCCTTTCTATGAGTCTTTTTGGTTTCTGCCTCCATTAGAATCTGAATAACTTTCCCAAAGTTAAATTTTCCTTGCACTTTAAAAATCTAACAAAGTTTCTTTTTTTATGACCAAAGAATCAGTATCAAACAGAACCCTCTGACAAAGTTTCATAAAGAATTCTAACAACAATTCTGTTATAAATTTCAAAGATCTATATTCACAGTTTTTCACTCATCTGTAAAGGTCATAAATTAATTTATCTGAGGAAGGATCACTCAACCGGAAACATTAGCTGTGATTTCCCTCCACAGATGCTGCTAGGCCTGCTGAGCTCTTCCAGCAACTTCTATTTTTGTCTCTGATTTACAGCATCCGTTAGTTTTTAATTAATTTATTTATATTGATTCTTCTGGAAGCTAAACCTCTCTGTTAAATCTTGTAAACCGAAGAATTGCATTTTATTTTCAAATTCAGGACAAGTTTAGAAGAGCCCGTACTCCCTGTTGTTTTGTCTGTTCTGCAATGTACCTACTGAATATAATCTTATTAGCATACTTCGCTTCAGTCGTTATGTTTAATTTCAAGCTAAGACTTTATCTTAAGAACTATTGTCTCCATGAAATCTAATCTTATGTCCTCCATGGGCCTTCTCTGACCTTAAATCTGCTAGGAAGCATTATATACTTTTTGTTTCTCCTCAATGTGCTGATTAAATTTATAACTGTAAAGCTGTTGGCAAATGGGACTAGGTCAGATTGGGTTGTCTGGTTGGCACAGATGAGTTGGACTGAAGGGTCTGTTTCTGTGCAGTATGACTCTATGTTTTACATCTGTATTATTTCAATAATGCTTTAAATATACTGTTTTTTTAGGTTTGCATTTGCCAATGCTATTTCAAATTGACCTGAGAGCTTGCTAGATACTGTATGGCAAAGTTGCAATATTTCCTTTATTTGCCAAATTTTTAACTCCACATTTCTATACGACTAAACTGAATTCTTAAATAAAGCTTTAAATATGCTCGCTAACCTATAATACTTTACTGCTTTCAGCTTTTTTAAAAATCTGTTTCTTTGTAATAATGTATCTCTATACAGCTTACTTGGTTTCTCAACTTCTTTAGGGTGTCCCTAATGCTTTTAATGATTAAAATGTTGACCAGTCATTTCTTCCAGGTTTTTCCAGCTTCTTCAACCAAGATGATGTTTCCTGCTTATTAATCAGGAAAATTTACATCTCTCTATCTTCATGGTCTAAAACACCAACCACTTCCTTCCACTCAAGAGTGGTGACTCCTACATTGAGGTTGTACAGGACATTTGGTGAGTCTTCTTTTGTGGTGTCCTGTGTCCAGTTCTGGTCATCCTATATTATAGGAAGGATATTGTTAAGCTAGAGAGAGTTCAGAAAAGATATACCAGGATATTACTGGAAATGGAGGGTTTGAGTTACGGGGAGAGGCTGGATAGGCTGAGAATTTTTTCACTGGAGCAGAGGAGTTTGATTTTATAGAAATTTATAAATTCATGAGGGGTATAGATAATGGCAAATGTCTTTTCCCTAGGGTGGGGGATTTCAAGACTTGGAGGAGTATTTTTTAAGGTGAGAGGAGAAAGATTTAAAGAAGACATCAGGGGAAATCTTTTTGTGTGGAATGAACTTCTAGAGGAAGAACTGGATGCGGGTATTGATACAATGTTTAAAAGACATTTGGATAAGTACATGAATAAGAAATGTTTGGAGGGATATGGACCAAGCACATGTAGGTAGGACTACTTTAGTTTGGCATTATGGTCAGCATGGGCTGGTTGGGCCAAAGGGTCTGTTTCCATGTTGTATGATTCTATTACTCTGTGGTGGGTCTGCTGCAGGCCATGGCGAGGTGGTGGAGGAGGGTCGGCAGCGCAGATGTCATTGGTGAGCTGGCTCAGGGCTCAGGCTTCTTTTTCAGTTATATCTTTCGTCCTTTTTATACCTAAACTATTCAAAATGGCGTCAGATTGTGGCGACCATTCATCAGTGACTCCTAGCCACCATTGAATTTCCCACCACCCAATGTGGCTTGATTGTAGAGTCCTCATCCTCTTAAATCTTTAATTTTCCCTGACTTTCTTGTTCTGCGAGCCTCCTTTAATATTTCCTTAAATTTGCTCATTCTCACCATAAATAAATGCTATGGCCTTCCCAATTCGGAAGCCCCAGTTAAAATTTATTTTCTCACTTTTCACTGTTCCTTGCAACACCATTTCATAGAGCCAATGTAGCAATGTTCATAGAGTGAGATGAGAACTCTCTTTTACACTCTCTTTCCTTTTTGGTTTCTGTTACTTTCTTCATACTTTTATTTCTATATCCTTAGGGGTCACTAACTTTACCTCTTAGAACCTTTTTATAATTCTTTGTTGCGATGTGGGCATCACTGGCAAGGCCAACATATTTTGCCCATCTCTTGAACAGAGTAGCTTGCTAGACCACTTCTGATTTGCAATTAATAGTCAACTACATTATTGTGGATCTGGAGTTAAAAGTAGGCCAGACCAAGGAAGGATGCCAGATTTCCCTGCCCAAAAGACATTAGTGAACCAGGGAGGTTCTTTTTCCAATAATTAATAATTGTTATCATTACAGTTTTTCTTAATTTCCAGATTTTATTAGTTTAGTTTAAATTCCACCACTTTCCATGATAATATTGAAACTCCTGCTCCTACAGTATTAGCCTGGGCCTCAAGGCAGTGTCATCGCCACTGCACAATCTCGCTTCACTTCAGTTACTTGCTCCTGACAGAGACTTTTATCTTGAGTTGGCTGTATTTTCTATGAGACTAGGTATTCTCTCTTTTCATACTCTTACTACAACATTCCTTAGCAGCTTTTGAATGAGGTTTTGCTTTTGGCATGCTGAGCCCTCCCTCTTCCTGCTTCCAAGGCCACTGCTGTTTCTCTCTCCCTTGGTAAGCATGACTCAGCTACTGACTGTCGTTTCTTCTAAATTTGTTTTGGGACTGTAGCAACTTTTCCAAATCCTTTAAAACTTGTCAGTTGTATTGCCTTGAAGCACAATGGCAGCACCTTGGAGTTCCTCTTTAAATCAGTCAGCATTCTCATTTTGAAAGATAATGCCATTGCTGAGTCAGGCTGGAACACTGCCTAACAGCACTGTGTGGGTTCCTCCATAGCATAGAGTCCAGTGGTTCATTTAAATTACACACCTTCATATCTTCAGAGACAATTAGGATTGGGCCAGTATTACCCACATTCTGTGGGTAAATTTAAAAAAAATCTTGAACAGCTTTGTTCTAACTTTAGGATTGTATTCTGATGGTCTGTATTTCCCCACTAGATATGTTTAAATGGATGGATTTCTTAATTCCACTTCTGCTATATAAAAGGTAAAGATAGAGTAAAGTCATCATAGTCTTACCAGGCCATAAACTATTTTGGTTGTATCTTATTGGGGGATTGGACACAGTCTGTCCAGTGCAGTTTTGATTGCTCGGCTTTAACATGTGTATGTTGTTGTATGTCAGTAGAACACAGAATTTTTCAAATCAGAATATCAAGAAAGATTGGGTTTGCTTCTGAAATAAAAGCAGAAAGTGCTGGAGAAACTCTGCAGGTGCAGCAGACTAAAGAAAAGTCATATCATTCTCAAAACATTATCTCTCTCTCTCACTCCACGTGCTGAGGTTCTCTCTGTTTTTATTTCAGACTTCCAGGATCAGCAGTATTTTGCTTTTGTTTGAGTTTATTTTTTGGCTAAGAACATCTTAATTATGCCATTGATAAGACCAGGTTGAAGATCCCATTATAAATGGCTCTGTCACAGAAAATCACAAGAATTATTTTCCCTTGATATGTACTGACAGAAAACACTGCCATTATTGTTCACTGCAGTGAAGTGCATAATCTAAAAATAAAAAAAACCTGCGACATTTGTTATAAAACTTGATATTCATCGTATAGTTTGATACTTATGTATCACTTTGAAAAAACAAATAAGACGTACATCAGAAATAACTTTTGAATAATTTTTATTTTCATTTTTTCAAATATTTATAAACTTGTGTAATTATCTTAAACTGTTATGGTCATACCATCCTGCAGAAAAATGGGCCTATTATAACGTTTTAACACAAAAGGACGTTCAATAGTTTCTTATGCTCCTGATGCATAAGAATGCTCATTCATTAAGTCTTAACTGTCACCTTGCAATCATAATCACTCAAATTCAGTAAATGATTCTCTCATTGAGAAAATAAAACACTTGGCAATTTGGCCATGACCATTTCAACAAAGACAATAATAGACATGAAAACCACAACAACAATATGAATAAGCTCTGGCATTCATAGAGCAGATGGTATGCAAGAGGAGAGTAGATCCCCTGTAGTTTGGTTGAAAGCTGTATCTTTAAAACTTTCAGAAACAAAACTTACAGCTTTTTTAATTTAATGAATGTTATAAAAAAATGTGATATTTCTTGTATAACCCTTTAAATTTCAAACACACAAAAAACAGTTAATCCCTACATTATATGTGATTTACTCTATCAGATTGTATACAATTTAGGACGACTGTGCAACTTTTAACATTGAAAGTGTACTGAAAACATGTTTATGACAACAATCAAACAGATTAAATTACTGTCCATGTCACGTTAAAAAAGAACTAGATTATTTATTTTAATTTTACATTAAAAATATTAAGTTGCCCATTTATGATAAACACAAAAAAGTTTAAATCTCCTCTTTCATTATAAAATTACCCTTTGCTGTTGAAATAGGTTTCTTATAAAGTCAAACGTTTGGCTGGTTTGAATGGTTTCCCATTCAAAAAATTGTTTTGTTTCTTGGAGTAAATTCTGATTAGGAGAAATTATAAAAATCATGACATTCAGAGAGTTAGGACACTGGCGCAAGCAATGGAAGAGTTAATGAATCCTTTGGATAATTCCTCGAAAAGAGAAGAATACTTGTGGGGCACTGAGCAATTGAGTGAGATTAAACAAGATGTGCAGGAAAAAAAAACGCAGAGATTGAATGGACCAAGGAAACTACTTCTGCATTGTAACATTGTGTAAGTGATGAACAGATTCCAATATTGTTTACTGTACTGTCACTTTACCTTTACAAATTATAGAATTGACTCAAAAAACTATAAAGATCCAAGTTTGTTTTAATTAATTCACAAGATGTGGGCATCACTTGCTAGGTTACATTTATTGCCCACCCAGAGGAGTTTTAAATGGGAATAGTCGAACATGTGTATTGAGAGGTGTTTAATAATAGCCGCCAGCCTTCAATAAATTCCATGCCCACTTTTCTCTAAAGAAACTAAGAGACTATCTTTTTCTTTCTTTCACCTCCATTCCAATAACTGTAGGGAAATCAGGTATTCAATTCCTTTTTCCACATCATGTTGAATTACAGAGAAGAATTACACATATAACGCAGAAGTTAGGTCAACTTTTGATGGTTAATATCATCACACATTAAACAAATCAAAAATATAATATTACATCATGATCAGAAAACAACAAAAAGTAAAAGAAAGACTTGCATTCATATACAGCTTTTCATGACCGCCAATGTTTCAAAGCGCTTTTCAGCTAATGAAGAGAATACTTTTCACATTGCTATTATATTTATTACGTAAGCAATAAATATGCCAACACTTCACACATTGTATTTACAAAGTAAACAAAGTTACAATTGAGTACTATTTTATTTTCCAGCATCATGACATTCAAAAATTCAATACTGCAAGATAGTTATGTAGCTTTTTTGTGTAATAATTATAAGAGCCTGCTTTATATAAAATGTAGAAAACGTAAAACTAGTATATCATTAGGGCAGTGAACTTAAACCCTGAGGGAATGTTAAGATTTTTTCTCTACATCAATGAAAGTTACACCACACACAGAGATTTGAATTGGTAAGGTGTATATCAACAGTGGCACAAGAGAGTGATTCTACAGTAACCAGGATATTAGCATATCAACCTGACAAAGACCACCTTCCTGGGGAATTATAATCTACTACTGCACCGACCTTCACAGGCAGACAGTTTGTGAGACATTGGTCAGAAGACCAGAAACGCAAGAGTATTTCGAAGTCTCTTGTTTCAGTACAGGATACTTTCTTCCAGCTGTGTCACAGGCTATGTATGTATCCATCATGTCCTTCACTCATCTCACAGGAAATAAGCATTTGGGAATCAACAGAGAAGCATATCGATGATGAAAATAACTTTGAGTGCAGTCTCAGCTAAATTCCCGCAGGTCATGGATATATCTGTCAGGTCCTTCACTTCATCTCATATGAAATAACCAATTGAGAAGTAATAGAGTAGCATTTTGATGGTGAAAATAACTTTCAGCGTGGACTCAGCTGAATTCTTACATTGAAGTGAAAGGAAGATGCTCACTGTCATTGAAATCTTCAAATACCAAGCGTGTTTGCAGTTGATCTTTAGGTGCATATGTCTCCTGTTTCCAGACCAATGATTTCAATGTCATGGCAAGTTTTGCCGTTTACATATTCACCATTGGATTCATGATTATACAGACCTCCATGTACTTCTGTAATTGAAGTTCCAGTGCAAGAGGTAGAACGCAGGCCCTCTGAGTGGGTCAGGCTGTTTCCAAACTGAATGTTGTACTGCATCCAGTGACGTCTTAAAATAGTTTGAACCTGTCAGAAGAAAAGCAAAATTTCCACATCATTTCTCTTAGACATGAACCTTTGCTATGATATCTCATCTCAATCTTTACAGAATAAATAGGAATTGGTAGTTCTATTTATTTCAGTTTGGAATAGATCAGTTCAAATGCAGTTCAGTTCACTGCTGCAGCCATCAATATAATTTCGAGTGGTCCTCCAATATTAAGAAGTCATTACACCATGAGGCATTGCACTTTGAACTCCATAACAACTGTCGAGTCTTTACTTTGTTTTAATGTAACGGTGAAAATTGACATCCTAAACTGAATGTCATACTCTGTCATAGTACAAACTTCAGGGTTAAAATGGGAATTCAAAGCAAACTTGTTTTTTTTCTTGCAACATCTGTGGAAAGGGCAGCAGAGTTAACACTTCGAGTCCAATATGATTCTTGTGAAAAAGAGTCATATCGGACTTGAAACATTAATGCTTTTTACCTCTCCACAGATGCTTCCAGACCTGCTGAGTTTCTCTGGCATTTTCTGTGTTTGTTTCAGATTTCCAGCATCCACAGTATTCTATCTTTTATGTTACTTCTTCTTTATAAAAAAGAGAGTATATAAATGGTTAGAACAAGTGCATCATGAAAAACTACAACTAGTGTTCCTATAGAAATTGCTCCATTACTATTGAACAATCCAAATTTTTCACTAGATTGATAATGCCATGGACAATCCTTTCCTTCTGAAGTATATTTTAAGAAATGTTTTTGTCAGATGAGCTTAGTCTTTGGAGAAACATTCTTCACAAGTGCAAATTGGTTGGTTGGATACACTAGTTATAGTGAAACAAATACACAGAATCCGTGAAAAGAAGGGACCTGATCAGCTCAATGCCTTTCCTCAATTATATTCCTTTAAATGTTTTCTGATGGACTATAACATCTAACAGCATTAGAACATGAAAAGTACCATTACCTCTCCATTGAAGAAGCAGAATATAGTTGCCACCAATAGGCCCTAAAACAGAAAGACAATATAATAAGTTGAATATAAGCCAGAGTTTTATCAAAGGTAAATGATCCCACTACCAAACCAAGAGTAGCATCCAAGCTCACACATGTGTGTAGTGGGTCTCAGGGTAGCTGCCACTGGCTGCTGAGATTTCAGGAGGAAGCGAGAGTCTCCAAGCCAAGATTCCCTCAAAGGCAACTTAAGTTCTTTTACTTATGATGTTGGAGTCAGGAAGACAAGGCCTAAAAATTGGGAATGGGGGAGGTGAGGGCAGTGAAGAGTATAGGGCGTCTTTCAGTGTAGGTAGTCATAATTGTTGTGGAGCTCATCTGCAGAAGCCAAGTGCAAGCCATAGAAAGGCCACTGTTGTACATTAAAAATTACATTGTGCTTTTTCTCCACCTGAGGATACCAATTTTACATAAACCAGCAAAAAGAGTCTGCGACAATGACATAGTGAAGGATCCATGTTCAACAGCTAGTGCTGCACTAATTCTAAGTGCTTTCTGCTGAAAATAAAGCTGTTTCTGTTCCAAAAAGTTGACAGCCACAGACCAGGAGCTTTTCCCAGGAATCCATTCCCAGGGTGAAGATGACAGTATCCACATGCAATGGCAGCCCCTCTGGGTAAAATGCTGATGGAAGCAGAAGTGGTCAAGAATAGGTCACATAATAGACTTAAATGGCCTCAATTTTGGCAGACCTGCAGCAAGTTTGTCAGGTGGAAATGCGTTTGAGGATATCCTCATTACATCTCTGTCACCAGGCACATGTTCCACTCGACATCTTGGCCCAGTGCCACAGGATAGGTCTGCCAATATCTTGACAGTTGCATGGAAAGCAGATGTAAATGAGGGAAACACACCCTTTAAAGGACTTCTCTGCATTTGCATTGTTTGAATGTTGTTAACTGATGTCAGCCATGCTTAGCCTTTACTGGTCAGCAGATAGATTGGATGCCAGCAGTCATAAAGTGAGGCGTTACACAGGATGAAAAAAATAGAGGGCAGTGACTGTCTAATCACACAAGAATTGAATGGCCAGTTAAATGTGTAATGGGATGGTGGATGTACATGGAACTGTCTGTCTGTAAGTAACATTTCTTGATTGAATGGAATGAATAACTGACACTTGTAATTAGCAATATCTGATAGATCTGAAATATGACAGGATACAAATTATTGCTACCATTAATAGATTCCAGAAAACAAATACAAAATTATATGTTAACATTTTACTCAATCAGAAAAAGATGCTTCACAGAGCAAGGCCTTTTAAAATTGTGCTCAGCTGCATCAAGTGGAGCATTATTTGCTTATGGGAGTTGCAAGTTTCAAATTACAGCAAACTATACCTTGTAACGACACTATAGGTTTTTGTCTTTTTTTATGAAGAGAGGTTGAGATGGAGGCAACGAACAGTCTGCATTAAGCAAACAAAGCAAACAGCTTGTGAGGCTTTGTTGTTAAAAGTTGGAACAATGGAAGTGACCTGAATGGATGGGGTCAAGCTCCCACAGAACCAGGACTTTAGTTTAGCTTTCAGCAGTTGTTGGGGTTGTGAAAGCTGCCACATCTCTCTCTCCTCGCTACAGCTAAAAGCTGGACTTCTTTCTTTCTCTCTCTCTCAGAGCTTTTCTCTTGATATTCTTTCCTCCTGGGGAGTGGAGAATTGCATGCGAGGCAATCTATTTTACTGAATTTGCCTTTGCCAAAGATGTGGTTATGAGTTGTTACTATATTGGAACAGTTGCTGTTTAGCAGTTACATAATCTATCATTCTGTTAAGTTTTCCAAGAGAGTTAAGTTATTCTAATCCTTCTTTCTTTTGTCTGTATTTTAACTATTGTGTAGGAATAAAGTATGTTTTGCTTCAAACCCTGGTAGTTTGACCAATCAAATTGCATCCAGAATGCTGGCCACTTGGCTTTAAAACAAGAACATGTTAGGGTCAAGGCTATCTCCTTAACATATTTTGAGGAGGTTTAGTTTGGTCCATAACAGTCTGAATTGAAATTCTGCCAGAACCAGTCTAAAATGTTCACATGAACATATATACAGCTTGATGCTTAATGGAAACCAGTTGTGCCATTCAATTAGGTGGTAAATGTTTGAGGAGCATGTCAATATTCTAGCACAATATAAAATTACCAACATTTTTATTTCCCCTCACTTCTATGTGGAGAGTGTATTTTAACATTATTTTAACTTGACAAAAATATTGACAATTGATAGCAGAGTTTGTTCATTCTTTCCCATTTAGGCATTGACAAGTGCTTTATCTTTCTGCTGTAAATGAAGATATTGCACTCAAAAAGGAAACTTTCCAACCTCTATAAAAGGTAATATTAAAGGGGAAAAAGTATATTGATGATGTTTCGCAAACAGTTGAATTGTTTCATTGGAAATGCCTTCATTTCTTAATCTGACCATGCATCACACAAATTACAGGTTAACAATGAATATTACCTGATAATGCATGAAAATATGCATTACAAACTCGTAGATTTCTTCAGCTATTCGCCCTTCTGGCTTCCACGGAACCAGCACAAACTGGATCCCAAGCAGTGGAACTAATATCAGAGTAGCCCTGACCGCCTTCATGTAAAGGTTTGACTCTGTCCTGTGTGTGACTTTTAATTTTGTTATAAGGACACGGACAATGTTCAGCAAGAAAAACAAGTTCACCTACAGGAACAAAAGTAATTATCAGTCATTTCGTGTTCTGCTGCAACCTTGTTCTCTCATTTGATTGGTAAATTAACAATCTCTTAATGCATATGATAGACAAGCACTTTTTTTTGTTGAACTTATTAAAATAAAATGCTATTTAAATAAAATGTCATTTAAACTCACCAGTAAGGCAGCACAAATAGGGCCATGAATTATATACACCAAATGTGTTTCTGAACTAATCCAGCAACTGCACAAGAGACAACATTTAAAGAGTAAATAGTCTGCTATTTTAAATAAAAATGAAGAATGATAATTTTTCTGGAAATTTAACTGTATTATTGAGAAAAAGAAAGATACACACAAATGAATCACTTACTTATCATTGTAATATAAGCTTCTGGCTACTGCATGTATCGTGGCTGGAATAAGAGGGAATCCTGTAAAATAGAACATTAATTACGGTAATTTTGTTTCTCACATTGTCAATGTTTGGCTGTAATGCAGGTTGTTTTCGCTAATTCTGTTCCGCGCAAGTTGTAGTTGGCAGACTTCTGTTTCCTATGCCTAATGTAAAGTTAATAGAGCCCTGTCCAACTCATTAACCTTCAGAAATGCCATTGGATACAATGACAGTGTTTCCATAGGAACAGCTCATGGCCTATTTCCTTGAATGTGGTACGGACAGCAATAAGAAAAGTGAACATTTTGTTATGCTGCCTGCTTAAATAGGCTTTGCTGGGTTGTTCCTTAGGTTTTCAGTCACCTTTGATTCCAGTTACAGCTGACAAAAACTCCAGCATTGTGGCAACTAGTTTTAACGCACACTAAATGAATTTATGTCTATCATAGACCAATGAAAATTGGCCAAGAAATGGCTGGTAATGAGGTATTGTCATATTCCATTCACTGCTTTATCTTCAGCAATCGTCCACCAGTATTGTTGCATGGATGAAATACCAGCTCCAACCGTAGCTTATGTTAGGCAGTAGGCCCCTTTAACATCAAAATCCAGATCCTGTGAATGTACACTGGACACTGTTCGTCATTTTAGGAGAATGTTAGGCAGATTGTATGCTCACTATCAGGTGACAGCAGCCTTAGGGTGGGCAGCTCTTTCTCACTGGTCATCAGGTGGGCCCCTCCAGGATCACCCCACACTGCTACTCTGTGATCCATCTGCACATCCCCTCCCCTTCCAGTCATCCTGTTACCACCGCGCAAACCTCCCAACTCAAGGTCAATTACTCCCAGGAACCAACATTTTGCCAGCATGGGGCCTGAGTCTGCTGTCAAATATTGTGCCAGTTTAATGATAAAGGGTTCCACTGAGATACCATTGCTGGCTACTGAGTCCCAGCCTACAAAACAGACCAGGCTTTCTGCCAAAGGGGCCTGTGCCAATCGAGATTCACCCAGGGTGAAAATTTTCCTGGCTGTGGCTAGTTGCTAGCTTTATCCAAACACTTGAAATGACTGAGGTGGTTCATAAAATAATGGAAACATGAACTGACAAGTCAAGTAATCACTCTCTAATGTTGTAAGAATGACAGTTTAAGCCTTACATCATTCATTCTTCTCTGCAATAATCTCCCTCCCTTGAGAGCTCTTCCAGAAAAAAGAGTGTTTTGAAGTAACACTTCCATATGCTAATAACTTTCACTGTTGCTTCACGATCTTTTCATTACTAGCAATCAGTGAACCTATATCTAATGTTAATATTCATTTTCAGAATGCCAGGATTTTTCTTAATACTATTAGTACTCAAATCAACATTCACAAATCATTCCGCAAATACTCCTGCAACTCAAACAAATACATAAGCTCATGCTGCATTTGATATAATAAACGATCTACATTGTCACGACCAAACTGCGGTTTGGAAAATACATACCCCATCCAAGAAGGTAATACCAGAGCAAGTGTTGCTTCTCAGAAAAGACGGCAACGACAATCAATGTATGAAGGTAAATACCTTCACACAACATCCAGAAGTAATTGCAGCCCATTAAGTACAGATGAATGAACTGTGACACTTTACAGCTGACCTGTGAAGAACAAGGATAAAACTTGCACTGAGACTGTGTAGGGGCACTTCAGTGCACAAAAGCTGTATCTGAAATTATAAGAACTTTGAGAACCAACGTCAGATTTTACTCCAGCGCTAAATATCGAACAAGCTAACAAAGGGCCATTTAATTCAGCAGAAGGTGCTAGGTATAAAACCTGTCAGCGCTATTCAAGCAATAATTCTTGCTTTACTATTAACTAACATAATACAGTGGGTCATAGTTAATTACACTGAGCCAAAACTGGAAAATGTTATGTAATTAACTGAGCATTCAATTAAATGAAGAGGACAGCCTGAACAAACAATAGGCCAAGCTATCCCGTTTTTTTCGCTGCATTCCTTGCAGTATGCTAACACATTGGAGCAATTCAAGATTCAATTGAAAAAAAATTAATCATAGATGATAGAAAAAAATGGAAACATAGTACAAGGTAATTGCATTTTACAAATATAGCTTGGGCTGATTTCAAAGAAGCTTTTGCCAGAATTACACACAGTATAATGATTAGCTTATTTTGTACAATAAAAAAAAGCACATTACATTTAAACAATTACAAATAACATCCAGTGGAATTTTCCCTTTATTTTGTCTAATTGTGGGGATGAGCATCAGAGCCAGGAACAGGGTCTTGTTGCTGTATCTGGCCCAAGCCTCAGCCCAGCATTGTAAACTAAGCACAATTGTCCACACACATTGAACTGCCCAAGACCTGGGCCCTGATCTATTCCCTCATCTAAAGGAGTGGCAAGGTTACTCAGTAGGGACTAATATGCCTTCCCCACACCACCCCCCTACTTTCCTGCCTTCCCCTCCACCTTGTGGTCAGCAGTGATAGGTTTCTCGATTTGTCACAAGCCTCAACACTTGCAATACGGATGAGTTGAACCAAAGGGTCTGTTTCCATGCTGTACATCCCTACGATTCTGTAAGATTTACTCTGATTGCCTTTGATTAAGTGACAACACTAGCCACCTGATCAGAGCCTGCGACATCAGGGTCATAAAGTTTGCCAGTCTGAGCTTATTTTCTCAGGGGATCCAACAACAAGGTAAGTACTTCTTATACCCTTCTTATTGGGTGGGCATTGTGGGGAGAAGGGGGTTAAGGGGATTGTATGCAATGGAATCGGGTTTGTCTTTCAAAGGTACTCCCCCCCTCCCCCCACCTCCTGCCTCCAATTGGGTAATTGGGTAATCATGAGGGGCATGGATAGGATGAATAGCAGAGGTCTTTTCTCCAGGGGTAGGGGAGTCCAAAACAAGAGGGCATAGGATTAAGGTGAGAGAGGAAAGATTTAAAAAAGACCTAAGAGGCAACTTTTTCACATGGAGGGTGGTGCAGGTATGGAATGAGCTGAGGAATTGGTGAAGGCTGGTACAATTACAACATTTAAAAGTCATCTGAATGGGTACATGAACAGGAAATATTTAGAGGGATATGGGCCAAATGCTGGCAAATGGGACTAGATTAATTTAGGACATCTAGTTGGCATGGATGAGGTAAACTGAAGTGTCTGTTTCCATCCTGTACATCATGATGACTCTATGACACCTCCAGGGATAGTAAAGTTGTACCCATAGGATTAGAAGATCAAATAACTTTATTAGTCCACGATTATTTTAAATAGTAAATATGAATTCACATTCTCATGAAGTTAATTCTGCCAATGCACAACAACACTTTGCATATGGACCTGGATTACTTTTGGGAAAGGGAATACTGTTCATAAAGTAACATTACAAATGCATTTTTTTCATCAAGATTTTCCATTACTATTAGTCAGTTTTTGATTTGTTTTGAATTTGTCTTCCTGTTGCTTGGCAGAATCTTTTGCTGTCACTAGTTGTGAGCTTGGAGATAGTTAATTAGGTGGATGGGTCATATTGGACGCCACTTTGTTTCCACCAGAATTAAAATCCAGGCAGGCAAACCTCCAGGTTGGTTTTTCCACTCCACCACCAATTAGGGTGATTAGTAGCCAATTAGTGATCACATAAGGGCCTCATCCCACGACAATTGTCATTAACCCAGATGCAAGAAGGCCTGTTACCATGCAGGCTGCTTGTCACTCAGACTGGGAAATAAGTCACTTGATCAACGGCAATCAGAGTAAATCTCACAGAATCGTAAAGACATACAGCGTGCAAACAGACCCTTTGGTCCAACTCGTCCATGCCAACCAGGTATCTTAAATTAATCTGGTCACATTTGCCAGCATTTCTCCCATATCCCTCTAAAGCATTCTTATACATACATACATCCAGATGCCTTTTAAATGTTGTAATTGTACCAGCCTCCACCACTTCCTCTGGCAGCTCATTCCGTACACACACCATCCTCCGTGTGAAAAAGTTGTCCCTTAGGTCCCTTTTAAATCTTTCCCCTCTTACCTTAAACCTATGCCGTCTAGTTTTGGATTCCCCTACCCTGTGGAAAGACCTTGTCTATTCATCCTATCAACGCCCTTCATGATTTTATAAACCTCTATAAGTTCACCCCTCAGCCACCAACTGTCCTTTAAAAGGAAAAGCTTGCAGGGCAATTGGGAAAGTGAGGGAGTGGGACCAATTGGGGAATTATTTTGAGAGTTGATATTGATATGATAGGCTGAATGGCGTGTAATTATGCTTTAATATTCCATTGTTCAACATGGTGCAATTTGTAGTCAGGTATGTTAAACTTGAAATGGCCAATTTCAAATTGCAACAACAAGACAAAAATCACTAAGAGTACTTAAATCTCAGTAAACATTTATTTAGGAAGAGTGTTATTTTCTCAGAAAGAAGTCATATATCAGAAATATTAAGATCAATAGTCATTATCAAGTGAAGAGCAGAAAATGATTTGAAAAAGAGTTCTGCGAATAATTACTAATAAACTGAGTAAAAAGATCACAATAATTTTCATATCACGGCTAAAAATACTTCAGCTATCTAAAAATCTGTTTGAATGTTGTTTCAGATGGATGACCTACAAAAGAGGCTAGATATTAATAAGAGTTTTTGATCCAGTGGAGTAAACATAATCTGTCATGAAAAGCAATGAGTAGCGAATGAATTCACTCCTTTATCTCGGATTAAAAATTGACTGCAAGTGACAGAGATAAAAACAAATATTAATGGCCCATTCAATGATCACTTGCTCCGCAATATCTAGGCAATTGCTTTTAAACTACAGTACAAAAACCATTATTTATTTGTATTGAGTTGATCAGCAATTGTTCAAAGAACTTTTATCAGCAGCTGCTCTTAGCAAAATGATGAACACTGATCTTGACCTTAATGGCAAATATGGTTCCTTTGAGAGAAAATGCTCTCTTCCTAAGTAAATGTTTACTGAGTTTGATATTCTTGCAGAGATGATCATTTTGTTCTGATCTGAAAGCAACAAATCACGCTGAGTGGCTGAATCATGCAGCAAAGCAAAAGGACATTCAGGGAGAGCTTTATTATTCATTGGTTAAGCCTCAGCTGGAGTACTGTGGACCGTTCTGGGCTCCACGCTTCAGAAAAGATGGGAATACCTCAGAAAGAGTACCAATGATGCTTGCAAGAATGTTATTATCAATTCAGAACTTCAAATATGAGAAGAGATTGTGAATTGAAATAGAAAAAATGTTAACAGGAGATATTATAGAGATGTTTAAGATGATGACAGATTTTAATAAAACTAAATTTGAAAAAAATAGCATTCATTCTGATGAGTGGGTCCATAACCAGAGGTTATAATTTCAAAACCTGACTTCAGGAAATGAAGTGGAGGATATACCCTTGTCTGTATCAATGGTTCTGAGGTGGAGGTGGTTGAGAGTTTTAAGTTCCGAAAAGTAAATATCATCAACCATCTATGCTGGTCCATCCACATCAATGCTACAGCTTGTTTTTTTTTATCACTGTGGCACTTTTTGAATTATGTATAAAACACATTTTAAAGACAGAAGTTGAATTAAGTGCAAAAACAAATTTAAGTCACACCCTATCTGCCAAATTAATGAATCTCATCTAATAGATGGTTCTGCACATTTGATGCTATTATAAGGTCACTTAGGAACAGACTAAGAAGGCTAAGGAAATTACGCATCTCTTCAATGGCTTACAAATTTTTACAGATACGCCAAAGAAAGCTTCCTATCCAGATGTAGCAGTACAGAAATATGGTGCAGCCATGAAGACTGGAGCATCTAGTAGCTACTAAATGGCATCTATCTCATCAAAATCAACCCTGTAATCTTCCCCTTAGACTCTAATGCCTCATGGAAAAGCTTAAGGAATTGAATACACTCAAAGCACTTTTCAGGTGTCCCCTTCACCCAGGTATTAAATTCATTCTGTAGTTCACCACAGGAATTGAACAAATACTCACTGGATTACTTTCAACAAGTTTCTGATTATTTGCAACAGCAGTTAGCCAGATGATGGTGATGATGGAATTACAAACAAACGAGAAGAATAGATTTTTATGAAGTGTTATCCTCTGGCAACTTAAACTCCTATAAGAGAAGAACAGAAGAAAATAAGTTGCTTTCCTGGGTCATAAAGCACTCATGTCAAACAATGTCTTTGTTCTTCAATGCTAATTTGTTCATAACAACTCAGGCTAACAGAGCTGACATATATCTTGCAATGCAGATGTATTTCTGCCTAAGTTTGTTTTAACATCAAAAAGACCAAACTGCTATTGTCAATGCCACTAAGAACACCAAATCCTAACTTTTGAATACATTCCCTGGTGCAGTTGTTTGTTCATGTTGAATCAATTAGCGAACAAGCTCAGTGTTGGCTTTTACCTTGAGATGAAGGTCGTACACTATATTCTATCCCTCACTGAGGTAAAATATTGCTAATTCCATTATAACTCTTTCCTCTGGCTTAAACTCATCCCAATGCTGCCAAAACATTCATCCATGTTCTGCTCCCTTCAGCCTTGACTTCAACATCCATAACCAACTCATCTCCTGTTCTGCACAAAATAAAGGATCCTATTACTCCTCACGCTTCAATTTTTTGTTTAGCTCCTTGCCCTTGCACTAAATTCAAAATCTCTGTACTCATCTCTTCATCTGTTTCTGACTGTTCTAGCCCACCTAGCCCAACAGTAATCACTGTGGCATTTTGTGAATTATGTATAAAACACGTTTTAAAGACTGAAGTTGAATTAAGTGCAAAAACAACTTTAAGTCACACCCTATTTGCCAAATTAATGAATCTCATCTAATAGATGGTTATGCATATTTGATGCTATTATAAGGTCACTTAGGAACAGAGTAAACATTTGCTGAATTGACTACTTGCAATAGCAGAATCTGCAATACAGAACAGGCTTGTATGAATGCAAATAATTATGATGCTGTGAGCTTCTTCAATTCAACGTTATGGACCACAATTGGATCTAAGTCATCATCTGAAAACATTTGTTTTATTTCTACTCAGCATATCGTAGAAAACAAATTAGTTTCATAACTGACTGTCAGAATTTTACAAATGATTTTCTGCTACGCTTCCTCTGAAAATCTAGTTAAGGAAATGATGTCCCCGGATAAATCTAAGATAAATAAAACCATTACTTCAGTGGGACTGAATAATGACCTCTGACCCTTCATTGAGACAAGATTAATAAAACAAATCAGAAGTAGGGCTTGGCTTATCATATTTTCCCAACTTTTTAAAAATTAGTGACAAGTGCAAAGCTTCAGCATTCATCAGTGCTTATTCTTTAATGCCAACTCAGCCAGATATTTTGCATTTTCATTTACATCCTCACTTCCTCCGGCGGTCTAACTGTAACACAGAGGAGAAATTAATATGTAGCAGGGGCAGACTGGCAAGTGAGAAACAAGCATAGAGTTGGGCTTAAAGTCTATCTGTCTGTCACTGGCACCACGACAAGTTAACATATTTTCTCATTGTGGGTATCCCTTTATCCTTAGGCTGTTGGAGGCCCTTGGGTGGCCACTTAATGAGCATTTCAAAGTTTCTTCCCGCCTCATCGCAAGATTTTCCTAAGGTAGGTGGAGGCCAGAATCAAGTTAGACCCTCTCCTTGGATCATCACCCTAACCGTATCGGATCTATCACAGGATGACTGCAATGCCTACACTCCACCCTTTGGTTTTCCTTCTCTACATGATGTGTGCACAGTGCACCCTTCCCACTTGCTTCCATGCCATGGCCTCCTGGCTTGGTCTCACTGAAAATCCCTCAACCTAGCTCCCCATCTGGCATCAGCAAAGATCTCTACTAGGTAATGGCCATTATTCGCTGTCCCTATCCTGGCACCATAGAGCCACACACTTTTTAATAGATGGCCAGCTCTTAAAAAAGGGGCTTCCTCCACATATGGAGGTACGTCTTTTCTTGAATACACTAATTTCCCTCCAGCTGTTAAATGGCAGGGGCAGTCTTGTCATTGACATTTTTGTTGGGGAGGCTTCAGGAAGCCTGCTACAATGTAAAATAATTTATGTCTCATTTCATGCAGTCGACAATTAAACTTCCTACGTTGCACTTCTTACACTTTACAGAATAGCAATTCGGATTCCTCACACATCCTAAGCAATATTTCTGAGTCCACACTAATCTTAATGTAGCCATACCGTAAGACCATGAAAGAACAAATTAGCATTTGCAATGCAGTGGTATTAAATACCGTTACTGTTAATGTTCAATTCACACGTACATAGACTAAGTGAAAGGCTTCTATATTAACATTGTACAAAGGATTACTACTTAAACAGCTGCAATATAGGTGAACAACATGCGCTACTACACTTTATGCTTCTTGTATGTGAATAGCCTGAGTATTACACTAACTGACTCTGTGATTTATCTATTTATAGCACGTTGGGTGACATAAATGGATTCTGTCACTTTTATGTACTGTGTTATTGTGTGTTCTGATTCCAATCTCAATAAATATTTGTGTTATACACGTTTTGTCAGCAACAGGAAGAAAAATGCAATCGGTGGAACTTTTATGTCTGCTGTACTCTGATAACTGAAATTAATTGTGCAGCTCTTCTTTAAGACCTTTCCCTACCTGGCTGGTGCTTTGAAACAACAAAGCTGAAAAAAGAAGAGTTTCCATCTTCATTGAGAAGATTTCCAGCTATTCCACATCCGACTTTTAAGTGCTGTATGACTCTATAACAAGCAGCATTGCCAACTCTGCTTACATTTTGACAGCTGTGACAATTCCACAATAGCAGCTGAGGAAATCTACAGCATTCTAAATATTACAAGTAAAACAACACACATTCTTAAAAAAATCAATTCACCCTATCTCAATGTTAAAGGGCTCTTAAAACAAAAATCCCAGGATCCAGTTCTGTACCTTTGCCAAAAGCTAAACGCTTTTTCCTTGAGTCATAACCTGTGTACCAAGTTTACTGCAATCTCCTTTTTAAGATATATTCTTTATAAGCAAACAAACTAGCAAACAGGGACAAAAACGTTAACTCCACTCTCCTTCAGTTGCAGAGGTAATAACTGTGCAATACTTACTTGAAATAAAAGAATATGGCAAGAGAAATCAGTAATGAAGCCACTGACAATCCATGTCCAATCACAGCCAAGTACAATAAGTTCACTGCTGTCTGTTTTGGGGAGAAACAAGAATTCCAAACTGATTATTAGCTAGGAATAGCATCAGATGATATGGTATTCTCTAGTTGTGTCATGAAAAATTCTAATCAGCATTTATACCTTTCGTTTTTCCCTTGTATGTGCATTACACTGAGTGTAGTTTGTCCATGTTCTATTACTTTCTGGATGTTGAAACCATTTTCCACTTTCATCACAAATCTTCATGGCTTTTTCTATTTGTGAAACAAACAAAAAAAATCCCTCAATAAAGTAAGAATGGTTATTCCAAAACTTTTTTTTTATGCAGGATTACATTGCACATAAAATTCAGAAATTTTCCCAGGATGTCGGCTGAAGATCTCATTTTAATCAGCATGGAGGGCCATATACAGCTATAATCTGGATGAACAGTTTGCTAGAATCAACTTATCCAGTTTAAAAATAAATTATTTCCACATTTATTCTGATCAGATGCAATGTACTCAGTGACATAGAGAGGCTTCCATAAATCACTTAAATATGGCCTTAAGTCACAGGTTAAATGCCATGTATATCATAGCCTATTCACAAAAGTAAAAATGAGTAGATAATGGCCTAAATACCTACAATATTCCTAATTTTCATCTAAAAATAAATAATGCTCTAGTACTTGCATTTATATAGCACCTTCTCTAATTGAAATATATCAAAACCATTTATCAAATAATATACATTTGTAATACAATGACACAATCAGTTGTTATTGTAATCCTATGTTTATAAGCAGCAACACAAGAAGTGAATTTCTCATGAAATGACTTCTTGTTCGCAATTGAAATTTACTATAAAGACAGGACATCAATAATACAGTACAATAATAAGGAGAACCAAAACTTTAAGCAGCACTATTGCAGTATTCAAATCATTTTCAAATCCAAATTATGGTTTTACATAAGTAAGTTCAATGCAAGCCCATTGGTGCAATAGTTCTTTCTGCCCTTATGAACTGGAAGCTCATCGCAGGCTTCTGATAATTCTGGGGTGTATTGCTGTCTACTTTAATGTTATCCATTAGGCATAAAATCAATAATCTTGGAATACAGGGGCATTGTATGTGGAGATCATTCAATCTTAACCTTTAATTGTTATCATAATATATTTTCTGCCACAGTGCAGAACTTTCCTTTTTATGGGTTTTGTTGCAATGTTAAATCAACTAATAATTAAGGTGAAGTCTAACAATGTACTAAACTAGCAAAATGATCTTAAATAAAAAAAAACTATGATTAATTAGAGGATTTTAGTTTCCTTTGAGAATCAATTACCAAATGTGTGTGAGACTCAGGATAAAACCCTCTTTAGAAATATTGAGTAACACCAGCATTTAACGTTAATAATTTTCGACTTACTTTTATAACCATGCTCAAAGCAAGACTGCAGTTGTGAAGGGTTTGGAGTTACTTTAATGCAAATGGAAAACGTTAGGATCATCTTCCTATTTTCCTTTTGTTTCATAATGATGCAGTTTAATCTCTAAAGGGGTTTTACCCTTTTGACCTTCTAGCTAAGCAAAATCTATTGCTACAATTAATATTTGCTGTGCTCTAACTTCTCAAGTCAATAAAGAGTAAGTGCCGTCTCTGACCATTTTGTCTTGTTTTTTGAGTAATATCCAAATTCACAGGAAAATGTGATGGAGAAGAATAAACCAGGGCTACATTCTTTGAAGTATAAAATTATGATATGCAATCGTATTAAAATACATAAAAGTCTTCATGGCTTTGACAGGATAGATACCAAAAGAATGTTTCCCCTGGCTGAGGTTGAGGGGCAACCTGGTAGAAGTTTATAAGATTGTGAATGGCATAGACAGAAGTGGAAAGTGGGAGGCTTTTTCACAGGATGAATGGGTCAATTACTAGGGTCACAGGTTCACGGTGCGAGGGGGGAAGCTTAAAAGAGATGTGTGAGGTACATTTCTCACACAATGGGTGATGAGTGCCTGGAATACGCTGCCGGAGGAAGAGGTGGAAGCACACACAATAGCAGCATTCAAGAAGCATCTGGACAAATACATGAATAGGAAAGGAATAGGGAGATTCTGATCCTGTAAGTGAAGACCATTTTAATATGGAAGGCCAAAATGTGTTGTTGTGGGCTTGGAGAGCGAAAGGCCTGTAACTGTGCTGTATTGTTCTTTGTTCTTCTTTGAAAGTGGTTTATAGATAAAGCAATCAAGAGATAAGTGGGAAAAGTAGTGTTGAGGTAGAAGATCAACCGTTATCTAATTGAAAGTGCAGATTTGAAGGGCCAAATGGCTATCCTTGCTCAATTTATCACTTTTTGACTTTGAATTGGAATTCAATAAAGCACTTTTTTGAAGCAATGAGGAAATTGTTGCAAGGTAGCAAATATGGCAGCCAATCTATGCACAGTTGTTGTGAATTCATAAAAGGTACCTCCTCAAATATTATGAGAATATATTTGACAAATGACAACAAGGTGACAATGCACCAGGTCACAGGCTTGATGTCTGTCATTGCCACAACAGTGATGCTGTAAAGTATCTGGATTGACATTTGTCAGCAAATAACTATGCATTATAATGTTTAGAAAAGTAGATCACTTCCTTTAGTGCATGTTTACTTGTTTATCCAGTTTAAAAGCAATGTACAAAAATTAGCTAAGATAACAAGGTGTAGAGCTGGATGAACACAGCAGGCCAAGCAGCATCAGAAGAGCAGGAAAGCTGATGTTTCGGGCCTAGACGCTTCTTCAGAAATGGGGGAGGGAAAGAGGGTTCTGAAATAAATAGGAAGAGAGGGGGAGACGGATAATTCTCCAGCATCTGCAGTTCCTACTATCTCTGATACAAAAATTAGCTTTTAGCTGACGAAGGTGGAATGACCATGAATGCGTGTACAAATAAATTATTCAGGCCTACTTCAGAGCATTAAATAACAGGAAAGGCATTTAATTTCAGATACTTTAGATGAAATCAGGGTTAGAACAATAACATCTTGCACTTGTATAAAACTCACATAGTAATAACATCTTTAGGAGCTTCACAGGAAAGTCAAACAAAATTTGACATTGAGTGAGATAAAAGTATTAGAACAGGTGAACAAGAGTTTAGTTAAAGGGGACAAAGTCGAACAATTTAAAATAGTAGGGAGCATGGTGTAGAGATTTAGATAGGAAATTTCAGAGTTTAGGACTAAGACTGCTAAAAAACATGGTAAAGCAATGAAAATTGGATTTGTGCAATAGGCAAGAATTGGAGGAGTGCAAAGATCTCAGATGGCTGTAATGCTGGAAAACAACGATGTAGAGACTCAGCAGGTCTGTGGAGAGATAACAGAGTTAATGTTTCGAGTGTATAATGACTCTTCTCCAGAATTGAAGGGGTTGAAATGTCCCTGGAAGATATTGCAGATAATGTTAGGCAAAACATTTTCTCAATGTTAAAAGGGCATCTCAGTAACAATGGTAAATCCTACAAACATGCATATGACCAACATATTGGTCCCAAAACTGTATCAAATCATTTTATGACATTTCAATTGGTGCAAATTGTAGCCTTATTGCCTCTGAGGTCACAAGATTTCAGGTTCAACATTCTCTCCAGGGCTTGACTACAAAAATCTATACTGATACTCCAATGGAGTACTGAGGGCATATTGCACTGTTGGAGTGGCCATCTTTCTGACTAGACAATAAGGTGAGGACCTGTCTGGTAGCTGCGGTGGGTGGAAAAGATTGAATAAGAGCAGGGAAGTCATCTCCAGCATCCTGGCCAATGCTAATCCTCCATGAACATCACAAACTAGACTGGGCTGAACGTTGTGGCTTTTTGGCTAAGTACAAGTTACAGGGAGTTGTGCAAGGATTTCTGCCATGAGATCCAGAGAGATTCCTTGCCATATCTTACAAAACCTGCCTCACTGACCACCTACCCTGCCCCAGTGACATCCCTCATATCTGGCTTCAGCTTCACATTGCCACATGTTGCTCCCAGAACAACTCATCACCCAGCAGAGATCTCGGAACTGACCAGCATCCCTGGTGTCACCCCATCTTTAAAAGCTTGCTCCGCACCCGGAAAGGCCAGAGCTGTCCTGCGCAGTTGCTGGGATTTGACGTGGACATGGAAGATAGAAGGAGATTAGTATCCAGTTTTGTGGGCAGAGACCTGGAAGTCTGGCTGGATAAGGTGGTGCAAGGTACAGGACTTTCTTTTCGCCTCAGGGCCATCAGTGGCAGCCACAACACTAGGCTGTGCCATCCTGGTCCAGTGTTGAGGAGTGCCCAGCACTGCAGGAAGAAGGCCAATGTCATTATCCGCTCCACCAGCATAGGTGCCACCATATTCTCTCCGATAACTCATACTCACTCACTTTCTGTTAGTCCACCCAACTCCTAACAAGATTCATGTTTTACTGATTTCACCAATTGCTTGCAATACCTGCCCTCATCCAATTCAACCCTTGACACCACTAACCCTGCAAGCCCTCTGCACTGCTTGCTCCCCACCTGCACCAAAATTAGCTGTTGTACCACCACTTTCATCTCCTTTAATATCTGCCTCTCTCTCATTCCAGGAGGAAACAGACCCCAATAGGGCAGAAAGACTCAAGGCAAGCAGTGTGCTGTGTGATATTCAGCTCCTCGCCCTTTATGAAGAGATTATCCTGACTCCATCTCAAGCAACTGGCTTACCGTTGTCCAAGCCTCAGGACTGGTATTGGAGCTGCCCCTGACTTACTGTGCATGGGCCTCCCGAGTAAAGGCTATCCCCCTTGACTTGACTGAAACCTGTTGACCACCATGACAGGCTTCCTTCCTTTGTGTCTGTGCTAAAGGGCAACGCAAGACAGAAGTAATATGAGCTTGGCATCCCTGGATAACAAGCCAAAGTTCAAAAAGAAAAGACAAAGTGAGCATCCAGACAGGTTCAGAGTGAGTACCATGTCAACAAGCGAACAGCCTGGATATGCAGTCTAGAGTAGATCATGAGCTGGGTGTGCATCCCTGAGCAAACAGTTTCCTTGCTGCCAGTGCAGCATCCTGCAAGTGGATTGGAGATGTGTCATGAGGGTGTTTAGAGGCTTTGGATGTGGGCTGCATATGGTTGGTACCCATGGAGTGTACCCAGCGATGTTGGTGCCTGTTGTCTGACATATAATGGCTTCAGGATAAGCAGTGAATGGATTCTGCCAGATACGCATTTTGGTTTTTGTCGAGTTTTATTGATGTCTAGCTTGGTTGATGAGTTTGGTAAGATAGAAAGCCGAATATTAATGAGGTCAGTTGGGCTGTCAGTAAGATTTTTAACAAGCAATAATCCTACCAAATGAGCACTTCACAGATGCCTAGTGAGAAACTCACCAAGCCATTTGTCCAAAGCAGAGAAGGTCGAGTGAATGCTCCCAATATCTATAACATTTCTTGTCCAATTCTGCCCCAAATCTCACCATAGCCCACATCGCCCAGAATCCTATAAGATTCTGTTCATTATCTTGTCATTAGCACATTGCTGCCTGTGGAAGGTTCCTGTGTGAAAATTGATGACAGATTTTGCTCCATTACAGCAACATCTTTGTTACTTCAAAAAGTATTTTAGTAGCTTTAAGGTAACCAGTGGTTTTAAAAATTAGGATATAAATGCAAGTCTTATACACGACATTTTTCTGGCCAGCCAACTGGGACAGCTACCACTTTCATAGGAACTAGGAGCAGGAGCAGGCAACTCAACCCCTCGAGCCTACTCTGCCATTTGACACGATCATGGCTGATCTCATCTCGGCCTCAATTCCACTCACCCTAACCCTTCAACCCACTACTAATTAAAAATCTCCTCCTTAAATTTAGTCAATATCCCAGCATCCACAGCACTCTATGGTAATAAATTCCAAAGATCCACGACGCCTCTCACCTCTGCCTCAAACCTGCTACCCCTCAGCCTAAAACCATGACCACTCATTCCAGACTGACCCACATGAGGAAACTTCACTTCACGTCCCTCTGAGCATCTTGTACACCTCAAAAAGATCTCTCTCATTCTTCCAAACTCCAGACAGCACTGGCCCAACGGCTCAATCTCTCTCTGTCGCTCTCGCATCAGTTGTCAATCCAAAATTGGTCCACAACCAAGATTGTCAAAGCTCATTGGACCCTCTCACACAAACCTGAACATTGATTAAAGTTTGAGTCACAATTACTGCAGCTAGGATTGACAAAGCAATATTGACTATACCTGATGGATCAAAGTCTTGAAAATAATCAGGGCAATGCTGGACAGCCACTGTTCCAGGAGGTGCATCTTCCCAGCACAACCATCCATCCCAAGTCCTGCTACACGCAGTGTTTGTCTCTGATGAATGAAAGGAATTAAAATACTGTAAGAAATACTGGAAAATATTTTTGTCATCCAGTGAGATTATTTGTTGCCATCTTTGCTGAAACGCAATTAATGATAGTACTGTATTGTTTTTTTTTCCACAAAGGGCATTGTCATTATGACAGAGTTTAACAAACCTGAGTTATTTTACAGTGAATCAAACTTTACACCATAGAAAAGCTATGCCAATGCTTCTGTTTAGCACGAACTTCTATCTACCTTTCTTTATTTTGCTGCATATCCTTCTCTTTCCTTCTCCCTCGTGTATTTATCTAAATTTCTCTTAACAAACACACGGTCATTTTTTTTGAGAGTTCTGGTGGCTCTGTAGGATCTCTTGGCATTAACCCTAAAATATATTAATACACATCACATTGAGATATGGATGTAACAAAAAGATTCAGGACATGATGTTTCTGGTGGTTTCCCTTCCCAAGCAAAGAAAATGTTTGTACAAAATATTTATCCAATTAAAGTTTCTCATGAGAGTAAATAATGAGAAATTGGCAAGAAGATCAGAAAGCAGGGAACACAGATTTAAGATAATTATCAAAGGAACTTGATGGAAAACAAGTACAATATTTTTATCCAGTAAGATGTTACAATCTGGAAGACATAATCTGAAAATCTAATGGCAGAAGCTTCAACAGTGACTTTTGAAGAGAAGTTTGCTGTATATTTGAAAAGGAACAAAATTAAGACCTGTGGGGAAAAAGAAGGGAGGTGGGATCATTTGGATAGCTCACAAGAATGATGGTCTAATAGAATCCCCCTCTGACTGTGTAGACTGAAATGTACAGATGGATGTCAGACAACTCATTTCGCTGGAAGAAAGGACAGCGGTTAATCGACAGACCTGGAACAAACCCGTCCTGCAGCGGTACACTGCTGCTAGTGAGCTAAATAACCTCACAATGGGACTTCCCCAAAGTGAGACAGACCACAAACACTGGAGGTGCCAGCTAATTTGACAGCAGCAATTCTGTCAGTACCAGTGTTCCACTGGGCACGCAGGCCCAATTAGGAGGAACCTAATGATGGAACACTGGATTGCGATAAGTCTGGGGATTTTGGGTGGAGGTTTGGAACCTTAGTGGAAGGAGTGGGAGGGGGAGCTGGGTCTTGAAGAATGAAGGAAGTGGAGCGCTGTTTTATCAGGGAGTGCCCGGTGGACAAGGGGTATCCTCTAATGCCTTCCTGAAACACTACCCGCTCCTGCCTGACTGCTCATGCCAACTGGATTACAATAGGGCAGTGTAATATCTGGATCAATTGAGCTTCTAACTAGCACAACTAACACTTATTTATTTATTTATATATTGAGAGTGAGCTGTTGATTTTGGCACCTGCCAAAGCTCAGTATTATGGGAGGGAGCCTGGGAATAAGTGACAAGGAGGTGCGCTAGCCAGACTCCCTATCTCATAAGCTTCTCCACTGAGAACACTGCTACTAGGAGCATGTAATAACCAGCCCTATGATGCTAGAATTTCCACAGGCCTGAGAATTAAATGCCCTTGTATCATTTCATCAAGCCACGTTAAGGCTACACACAAACATGTGTATTGTCTTTTAAGTGCCACCAGCAGTTCTAAAAAAAGTACATTTAATAAATGTTCTCATGCTAAACATAGCAATGTGAAACTGATTTTAAAAAAAGGACAACTTCTGTTTTATATTTCAAGGGTTTAGTAACAGAGTCCTACTTTCCCTGATCAAGTTACGTTAACTACAAACCCTACAATTCTTTTGCTAAATTTGCTGACAGGCAACACTGCACAATTGCAGAGCAAAGCAGAAAAAGCACAACAGTAAAAAGGACAAAGATTAATCTCATTCAACGTTTGTGTGCTCCCTGTGGTTTTCATAATTGTAACCAATATCAGTAATGTCAATAAAATACGAAGTAAAGACAATGGATTGAAATGTAAATTTTCTGAACAATAAAAGAACAAACATTTTAAACTTTTGTTCATATTTGAAAGAATAAATGTATCTTTTAAGGTGTTGTATAACGTGTTCTTTGTTTCCAGCAGTTTCTGTTTTAATTTCTGATTATCACCGTTTTCCTCTGTATTGTGGGAAGATAGGAACTAAAAGGGCCCGCCCTCCTATTCCGTTAAATCACAGTTGATCAATACTATTTAACTGCTTAAGCTCCATTTCCTTTGATAACCATGTTTTACAGATGACAAACAAGATTAAGACTTTGGAACATCTTTTGTGCATCAAAGCAAGTTTTTCTTAACAAAAAAACTTGTTGAAATTTCGACATCAGTAGCAAAGAATTTACTGCTTATCGTTAGCTGTCCTTGAGACATTAGTTTTGACAGTTTTCTTGAATTGCTGTAAGTGCTAGGAGCTTAAGATTTTGAAGAGGCTTGATAGGGTAGATGCTGTGAGATTGATTAGTCAGAGAATCCAAAACACAGCAGCAAAGTCTCAGGATAAAAAGTCAGTCCTTTATGGCTGAAATTTCTTCAGCCGGGTTATGTTTCTTTGAAATTGTCTATCCCGGAGGTTGAGGATCCATTGTGAATATATTTAAAACTGAGATTGGCAGTTTATTATTGGTTTTCAGGAAATCAAAGGATATGGGGAGTGGGCAAGAAATGGTGTTGAAGCCCAAGATGAGCCATGTTCACAGTGAATGACAAAGCAGGTTTGATGGGCCATATGGTCTACTCCTATTTCTTTTACATTTGTAGAGGCGATGGTACTTCACATGCCTACAGCTTGTGTGATTTTAGGTTGTAGAGGTGGCGCTTGGGAGAAACTTCTGAAGAAGTCAGCAACAGATGCTGAGAAGTTCCTCATCAATGTTACTTCACTAGAAATACAGTGGTAACATTGTTTCATGGATTAAAGGGATTTCTGACACAGTATGGTTGAAGCACCATCAGGGAAAGGAGAAATTCACTGGTAAATCACAGCTACCATCTCTGTCGTGTTACTGTAATATTGCCAGAGTGCCAGTCGTTCTTGTGACTGCACCATAATTTCTGTTCAAACAGACTTAGCACTGTTACCATGAATCCAATATAAAGGGTGAATACCCTGCACACTTGCATCCACTACTGCACAGTGCCCTTTGACACTAATACACTTTTGCAGCCTTTGGAAGTGGCAGTAACCAGAACTGAGAGATTCATAGAAAGCAGCACTATATTACAATGTCCAGTGTGAAACTAATGTCTGAACAGTACTGCTGGCTTCTCTGTCAGCCTCTAATCAAGGAAATCAGATGTCTGTGAAAGAATGGGCAGCACTCTATTCAATGGCATCCTCATACTAGTTGAAGTTTTAATGACTCCTTACTAAAAATAGAATCAAGGTTAAAAGGTTTTCTTTCCACCAATGATTACTGCAAAGCCTAGGCAATGTGAGACTACCTCCCTAAGCTGGCCTCACACCTGTTCCCTGGATCTGACTTGGGCAGCTTCACTTATGAGTTCCATAACTTAGCCGAAAGCACTACATATTCATCTCTATGCCAATATAGTATTGTAGCTATGACCTGCTACATTAACATTTCCTCCTCAACCTTGCCTCACCCTATAGTGTTGAAGATAATTCTAACTGATCATTTTAAATTGCAGTCACCTAACGTATTATTTATTAGCAATAAGCAGATTGCCTTACAACTGATGTAAAATTGAGTAGTATTAATTGAACTACAACTGAAGAGAATGTGTTGCTGGCAGTGGTGCAGAACTCTGAATGCAAAATGACACATCAGCATGAAGGCAAAACAGCCACTTCTTCTTTTACCATTTTCTTTATGGGCGGGAGCCTGCATAATCTTCTGGTAGCATTCATACTGCGCAGTCATTATTTTTTGCCTGGTGAAGCCAAATCCTTGGTATAATTCCACAGGTACATTCCGTGTACTGTTCTCAGTCATGACCACTGCAAACTGATACAAAACAAATACATTGTTCTAGACATATAACATGTATAGACCTGTGGAGGTGAATATCAGTTAAACTAAACTCATGCTAAGCTTTTATACAATTCTTTGTCAACAAAATTTAACTAATGCCCAATAATTTATATTATTTTGAGATACTGCGCAGCACTTGCATGACTGCTAAGAAATGAGCTTGTTAGTTTGTCATCTTAGACACCAGGTCACCAACTCCACCTTCTCAACCCCTCATCCCCACCATTCAGCATTGCTGTCTTCTTCAAGAGGAAAAAAAAATGTTACATAGATGTTCCAGTGCAAAACAGGAAATTCCATGAGCAAATTGTCCACGGTTCATTACTTAGATATACCACATGCACTGGTTCAAACATGAACATTCAAACTATATTACTGGGTGGCCTTTCCCTATAGGTATATATGAAATTAAACATCAATTATATTGATGGTACTGATATTTGTGTACTGATTAAAACACTCTCATGAAGAAAATGTGAGAATTCTTTGCACGGTATCCCAACAAAGCTGGCGTATAAATAGTGTATATCTCCAGTACAAGCAAGTTCGCCATCCAAACAAATTATGCAGCTCTGTTATTTCATAAGCATAATAATATTGCTTGTATGTGTAAGTTGTGTAGCGTAATTGAATTTCTGAACATCAAATGAGAACGGCCAAACAGGATTTTATGTATTTTCTAAATGAATTATTCTCAGGAATTTTTAAGACCTACCTTTGAAATGGAAAGAAAGAACAAAAAATGAAACATCCAGTTCCCTTCCATCGAAGACATTATCCAGAATAGTTCACTATTGAATATGACAGCCTATAAAAGTGATAAAAAAAAAATAGCCTGAGTGACAAACAACAACTGGAACATATTAAAATAACACTCATCTCAGAATAGGGATTGTGCACTTTTCCTGGTTGATATCATATATCATATTTTTGCTGTTTAATATCATATATCATCGGGATTCTGCATCCTGTCTGTTTACAGTCATACATCACAGGAATAGCACATTGTTGCTTTCTAATATGATGCTCATACAAACACCATGAGCTTTGAATTGCAATTTAATTTTGTAAGCATCGAAATAACAATGCTCTCTTTCGAATTTGGACCACTTTTGAGCTAAATGTCAGTTGTCTATTTTACATTTATAATGCAACTTATGGATTGAAATGGTTTCTGCTTCACATCAATGAAACTGTGCCAATTCAATCCAACAATGGGTTCTCATCTGACTCCACTCAATCTTGAGACTTGATGGAGAGTAACTGCGTTTTATCAGAGTGAGTCGGGATTTTAAAGATTTTTCCTTGGATCCCTGGCATTCTTTAAACTGATGCATAATTTTAAAAGTTTTGAAAATTCAGGCATTCTCATCTGAATTCATCACAATTTTAAACTGTTCTAGTCAAGTGTATGTGAATATAAGGATCCAACAGTGGGAAGCAATATAAATTCTTTACAGCTGACAGGAATCCATACACAATTATAGTTCTCAGGCTGATATAATGATTCCAAAATGGTCAATGTTCATGTTACACTTGCTCCAGCCATTGTTTAATAGGTGAACTAAAGGGAGATGTTGAAAAAACAATGGTTGTGAAGGGGTTAATATTCATTTTAGATTGGTCTCACCCATTACAATGATGCTATATACAGTCTGTGGGTGAAGAAGGTCTGCTCCAGCTTGAAGAGCAGATAAACGTCACTGCATCAGCCCCTTAAAGTCTGATTAATTAGGCCTGACCAAATTGTAGTTGTGCTCATTGCTATCATGCAATAAACCTTCTTGTTATCCAAGAACAGTGCCCCTTGTGTAGACACAGTGGTGTGTGCTTTAACATAAATCACTATGTAGGCCTGAAACAAAGCAATGCCAAAGGGGAGTTGGTGACAGTGAACTACCAGCAACAATGCTTACCCAGTATCACATACTAGTAGAGATGGCAAATACTGCAAAGTAAGAGGAGTAGCCATCTGGGAAATACCCCAGATGCCATACATTTTCATGGTAGTTTAGTATCAAATGTAATTATTTTGAAAATATTTTTTCCTGTGGCCTGGGCAGTACAGCAAAATAGAACGGATTCAACACACAACAGTTAATCTGGTAATTAATATTCGTGTCCCCTTTTGCACACACATCTGTTTTTGTCTTTCCCGAAGCTGAAACTCAAATACACACAAACATTTAACTTAATGTGCAGATATTAACTATGACCAAGTCTGTCATATATACACTGATTTGATAATGTCCCTTTGTTCCATTACAGCAAAAAAGTGAGCACTTTGATTTAAGTTTCCTTCCAAATAAAGTGCACACATTCTGGTTGCTTGCCGAGAAAGCATTTTGCACATCCAAAGAAGAAAATTTAAAGCATTTCTAGTCGCATGTGTTTATCTTACACAGAATTCCCAAATTAGATACTACGTTTAAGAATATTTTGATAGCCATGGAGAATTGATAGTACATTTTTAAATAGGCTTGTTATAATAAACATATCCAAAAGAACTTTATAATATGTGACTGAAACACCAAAAGGCATTCCTCTTCCCAAGTAAGTCATTCTCTTCATAAGATTTCTTAAGGAAGTGCATTATTCAGAGTGTTTTCTTTGCCTACTTCCATTTCAACTCTTTCTACCTGGAAATTGGAAGCTTTTGAATTTAACTTTATTCTCTTCCGTCATTCCAGCACCTGAGTAGACGACTTCAGAGTGGGATGTGCCATATGATTAATTTGAACAAGTTATTTCTTTACAATAATTGATCTTTTCCAATTCATATATTCTTCCAAGTGCTCAGTTGCCATAAATTTAGTCAAAGGCTGGAATTTTCAGTTTGCTTTAGCAGGCAATGGTGAGCTAGTTGGGAAAATATACAATAAACAGAAAATCCAGATTCTTGATGTTGCAAATAAAATTGCTGATTTTCCAGTTAAAATTTAAATTGCGTATTTGAACTTTGCTAATGAGCAGCAACTTTCTTGTTTCCTACAACTTGCATCTCATTTATCAGCTAATAACTCATTTCAAAATTCTCCCCTCCTTCCCCAAGAAAACCAGGCAGCACAAATTCCTGACAAGAAAGTCACAGCAGTTATGTGGTGCCAGCAGCTCCCTGTTTTCCCCTTTGGACTGCTACACCACCAGTTCCTTGCATGCTCCATGGACACTCTACTCTTCAATGCTTCATCTACACAAATGGGTATCACCACATCATCATGGCTACTTTTGGACTATCTCACACACCACTTTAGTGCTTCAGGATTTCACTTTGGAGCTCAGGGGCACTTGTAACTCGTAACCTTCTGCTAGGTCACTTTACATGTAGTGGTGCGCACACATCAGTTTATTCTCTTAGCACGCATTCAATTTATGCTGACTTGGAGGCTCTTGGGCTTTCTAGCTTGCATTGCCTTTTAACCCGTAGGCTCTTCAGTGCTAACTGACAGGCTGTCAGCATCTCTGGTTTGTATCACATTTCAGCACAGCAGAAGATACAGTCAGCATATCAGTTCAGAACATTGAAAAGTCAAGGGGTAGATAGGTTGATGTACGACACCATGCTACATCAATATCACACCTACAGTATGTGTCAGCAGCTTGGGTGGCAAATACACTGCATACGCTTCAGGTAAATCACCATGTCTGACAGTCCAAGAGCAAGTTCTCAGTGAAGGGAAGGGGATCAGTCAAGGAGTGTTGTCACTGTCAGTCAAGGTGCTGGTCTGATCCCAGTTTAGGGCACTGGCCACAGTCAGTCAGGATCTTGGTCCTATCAGAGTCCAGTGATCAGTGTTCTTGCAGTCCAGGGATTGGGCTGCGATTAGCCCTGAAGGTCAAATGTAATCAGTCTGGAGGTTGCAACCTGATCACTTGAGTTGCTGTGAAGATGTGTGTATGGAGGATGTGCTATGCTCAGTGAGGGCTGTCCTGCTACATCAGTCTGAGCATGGGCCACCCAGTCTTTCAGTAACTGACCAATTGTCATGTCAAATACTCAAAAGATCTGCAGATGCTAACTTAAAGGCTTCATCTGGATTTGCCATTTCTTTATCACTTTTCATATCTGATATGGGAAGACAATGCTTTGGAGCTGCTACATTCACACACTGAACTGTGAGTATGCAGAGATATCATCTTTGATGATCTAGAGTGGTGTTTTTGGGAGAGTCATAGTGTCAAACATAAACAGACCCTTTGGTCCAACTCATCCATGCTGACCAAGTTTCCCAACCTAAATTAATCCCATGGGTCTTATAATATTGGACAAGTGCTTGACTTACACTCCTGGCAATGTAGCATTAAGGGTATAGCAGGGCTCCATATCAAGACATAACATTGGCCTCCCTGCAAAACCTCCATAGGCACACTGTGTCAGTAAATAACATGACGTTTCATAATGACTGATGTGAAGCATCGGAAGTACATCTACTAATATGCTGATCCTTCCAATTATTCCCTTCTCCACAGATTATCCGATCATGCATCTGAGATCGAATCTCAGCTTGTAGGATTCCTCGTGGTTTTATCAGAAGTCTGACAATGATGTAGAGGAAGACAGCAAATAAAGTGCCATCAGCAAATCCACTAAGAACAGCATCCAGAGAGAGAAGCAGCAGGCAAGATACCTCAAAGACACGGAGGAGGATTACCAGACCATGAATCTACCATCCCCACTTTCATTATCTAAGACTGTTAGAAGCCCAATACAGGTGTAAACTAAGGATTTCCAACTGTTGTTTCTGCTGAAGCAAGGCTTTTGCATGGAAGTAATGGGTGGACATTCTATTCCCATGCCTGTCAAAGTTACATTGACCTGAGATTTTATAGCAGTAGTTTGATCCATGGAACAACTGAGGAACTCTGTGACCCCTTCCAATCATCAAACCACAAATGCACTCTGGATGTGACTGATGCCATTTTCTCCAGATCACAGCAGTTCATATCCTTCTGTTGTGGCAGGGAGAGTCAAGCAGCCTGGATAGTGGGATTCTCCAGAATCGCTGACTTCCTCCAGTGGCAGGGCATTATCAACTGCTCCCACATTGTTTCGGGAGCATCCTATCATCAACCTGCAGATTTCATCAAGCTGCCATGATGCATATGGCATGGACAACTCATAGATTCTGCCTCCATCCAAGGTTCTCAGGCTATATAAGGATGGCTGCTGGGTGACACGGGCTACCTCGCCAAATACCTTTATGAATCCCTCAGACAATGCAGATTGGAGATACACTGCTACCCATGCTTCTACAATGGCCTAGTGAACAGACCATAGGAATCTGTAAGATGGAAGTTTTGATGCCGATTCTTCGAAGGCTAAAAAAGGTGTACCATATCCCAGTGGTCTTCACATCTGGAGCGGACAGAGGGGGATGTGCTGAATGCAGATGAAATGGGAGATTGTGAACAATCTTCTGACAATAAGGTTGAAGATTCTAATTAATATGTCAAATGCAATTTCTCTTTCCTCAGGCCATATTGACTCTGCCTGATTGTATCACGATTTTCTAAACACCCTGTTACTTCTTCGTTAACAATGGATTCTACCATGTGCGTAATGACAGTTGTTAGGCTGACTGACCAATATTTTACTGCTTTCAATCTCTTTCCCACCTTGAGCAGAGGTTTTACATTTGTTATTTTCTAATTCCCTGGGTCTTCCCAGAATCTCGAGAATTTTGGAGGATTATGACCAATGTCTGCAGCCCATTCTTTTAAAACCCTAGGATATAAGTCATCATGTCAGGCCACTCATCAGATTTTAGTCTTATTAGTTTCTCATTTTTTATGACTGTGATTGATTAA